AAAAAATAATGAATCAAATGAGAATGTCAACATGTATAGAATATCATGAACTTAAGAGTTGCGGCTTAGCTTCAATTAGAGGGTCTACCCAATTAAAAAGGCACAAGCTAATCTCGAGAACTCTCACGAATAGGATTAACAAAATGACACTGTATTCACTCCTTGGGCTAAAGTGTATCGCTCAAACCGTCATTACACTAGCATGTACCTACCATATGCTTGAAAAGTCTCTCACCCTTCATTACTTGGATAACATACATATTTATAAATCAAAAGGTCTTAACAGGTGTAATGAAAAACAAGGCTTTGGGTACGGTAGGGAAATATTTAGGAAAAGTAACTAAAACCTAACACCAACGGAGAATCCGGCTACTCAACCACACTTTATTTTATTTTATTTCACAAAGGACTTTTGTATCTATCTTTGAAGCTCGTTCCTTTTTGGACGATATGGAATCGAGAAGAAACGTTTATATTCAACCGTATCGTCATTTTTGTTTTGTTTTTTTTTAATATTCTGTTTTTTTTTCTTTTTTCAATCTTTCCTTTCATTTTTTTTTATTTCATATTTTTTCCCTCCCCAACAAACAAATTCAACTTTCAACTATAAAGGAATATTGGGATCACTCCATTGGTGCTTAGTCGGGTGAGTCGTGTTTGGATTGGTTTATGATGTGGGCAACAAATGAAATAGGCTAAGGCTCAAAGTGGTGTGCAAAAGGTTAAAAATGACATAAAAGGGTGAGCTAAAGGCCAATGGTTTAACAAAAAAAAATATGAGCAAACGATGGCCTTTATCATATTTATTAGCATGTAAATATCATGTAATCTTAAGGAGAGACAAGTCAAATTCTAGAGGTACATAACTAGGCATGACGTAATCACACAAGAAATGAAATTGAGACTAATATCAAGTGTTTTAGTCTAATAGGCTCAAAGTCTCACGGTAGTAAAATTGTTAAAGAGATTAGCAAGAGTCTAACTTTAACCGGTATATTACCACTATTCAACTCTAAGCGCTTTCAATCAAACTCAATCATGCTATACATGCATTCAAACTCATCATCATCAATAGTTAAAGYCATAAAAAAAATGCCAACACGTTGTCAAAACGGACAAAAATTCACATTTWAGTATTTACCCTGAAAAACATTTATSTACYCGRACCATGCCAARACATTGTCAAAAATTTRACATCCCACCCCCACACTTAGATCATACATTGTCCTCAATGTATTCGATAAAGCAAAGGATATTCGAAGCAATCAGATAATGAGGGAAAACAGTAAACTCCCCTGATTTGGTGAATAGTCCTCTAATGTATGAGTTTGTGCAKGTAGATACGTCCTTTTAGCTCCAAATTTGAAGGTGAAACCTGAGAATAATCAAGGGAGGCGCAAAAGTGAAGAGGAGGCACTAACGAAACTAAAACATATGAGAAAATTTTTTTGAAATAAATTGAAATCCATGGGTTGCCTCCCATGCAGCGCCTTTCTTTAACGTCTTTGGCTAGACACCTTCTTGTCTAAATGGATCCTCCCTCCGGCACCTCCATCTTGAAAACCTCCACGTCAAGAGGTTTAAAACCTTCATAAAATGGCTTTAAACGGTGGCCATTAACTTTGAACACTTTTCCCGTTTTCTCACTCTTAATCTCTATTGCACCATGACTAAAAACATTAGTAACAACAAATGGTCCCACCCACCGGGACCAAAGTTTTCCCGGAAATAACTTAAATCGAGAATGAAAAAGTAAGACCTTTTGACCTAGAACAAATGTCTTACGAGAAGACATTTTATCATGAAAAGCTTTGGTCTTTTCTTTATATATAGAGCTACTCTCATACGCATCATTGCGTATCTCTTCCAATTCTTGGAGTTGGCATTTTCGGTGAATACCGACTTTATCAATGTCCAAGTTGACATTTTTCACGGCCCAAAAGGCCTTATGTTCCAACTCAATGGGAAGATGACAAGCTTTCCCATACACTAAACGAAAAGGAGACATACCTATCGGGGATTTGTAGGCGGTCCGATAAGCCCATAATGCATCATTGAGCCTTAAACTCCAATCTTTCCTACTTGGGTTTACCGTTTTTNCTCTTTGAAGGAAAATCTGTTATGGCATCGGCGACTTTCACACTTGAATTTCAAAAATCTAAACAAGTTGGTTTGTGACAACTTGGTCAAAGGAATCCCATAACTGAAGTTTCATAAAGATCATGTATGTGGTGCATGTGAGATGAGTAAATTGAAGAAAGCATCTCATAAGCTAAAGACATAGTTCAATACCGAACGTCCTCTACATCTTCTTCATATGGATCTTTGCGGTCCTATGAGAATTTAAAGCATCAATGGTAAGAAGTATGTGCTGGTCATAGTCGATGACTATTCCAAATATACCTGGGTTCATTTTCTGAGGTCTAAGGATGAAGCAGCCAAGACAATTATTTCTTTCTCGAAGACAGTTCAAAATAATCTGCAACTTCAAGTTCAGAAAATCAGAACAGACAATGRAACTGAATTCAAGAACAACACACTCGGTTCATATCTCGAATCCATTGGTATTTCTCATACATTTTCGGCAGCCCGGACACCACAACAGAATGGTGTTGTTGAACATAAGAACAGAACGTTGGTGGAAGCGGCACGGACATTGCTTACATGTTCCAGTCTTCCTTTATTGTTTATGGGTTGAAGCAGTAGCGACTGCTTGTTTTACCCAAAACCGCTCATTGGTAAACAAAAGGTTTGGTAAAACTCCGTATGAAATAATAAACAAAAGATTACCTAACATCAATTTCTTTCGAGTTTTTGGTTGCAGATGCTTCATTTTAAATGACAAAGAGGACAGAGGGAAGTTCGCTGCTAAAGCTGATGAAGCACTTTTTGTTGGATATTCAAAGACATCCGCTACATACAGGGTCTACAATAACGGACTAAAATCATCAATGAAAGCGTGAATGTATCTTTTGATGAAGTCATTGATGTGGCTTCTGAACAATTCAGTTCAGGACCCGGTCTTATAATCAACACTTCGAGGAAAACTGATCAACCTGAGACTTCTAACTCATATAAAGCTAGTTTAGATTTCTTGTTTGAACACTTTTATGAAGAATATTTTGGTAATAAACCTAATCAGTCTATTATTTTGATCAGGGAAAATTCAATTGAACAATAGTTATCGGGTCCATCTCCTGATGTGCCCGAAACTGAAACAGAATAACTGAACAATCCCATTCAGTGTGAAGAGAGTGAGACTTCTGAAGTGCAAGAGGTGTTAGCTGAACAAATTGAAAATAATCCACCTCAATCAGATGTCCAACCTATACTAGTTCCTATTATTGAACCTTCACCTGAACCTGCTCCTATAAACTCYCCAAGTTCTTATACTGATCAAAATTCATATCAAAGTTCTTACACTTCCTTACCTCATAGCAAGAAGTGGACCCGAGATCATCCAATTCATCAAGTAATTGGTGACCCATCAGCACCTATCCATACACGGTCCGCGACTGCTAATGAGTATTTTTTTTCCACGCTTTTTTAGTACTATTGAGCCGACTAAGGTTTCTGAAGCCTTAGCTGATCCGAATTGGATATTAGCAATGCAAGAAGAGCTGAACCAGTTCGAAGCACTCAATGTCTGGAGATTGGTACCTCGTCCCAACAATAAGACGATTATCGGTACTAAATGGGTATTCAAAAATAAAAAGGATGAAGATGGTGTTGTGGTCAGAAAAATAAGGCTCGCCTCATTAGTAAAGGATATAATCAACAAGAAGGAGTTGACTATGATGAAACGTTTGCCCCGGTTGCAAGGATTGAAGCAATAAGAATGTTTTTGGCGTACGCGGCACA